ATCCGTGCTCACAGGCTCGGATTCAGACATAAGGGAAAAGTGAATAAGATTACCATCATTATTGATCTCATTATAATGGAATACTTACAATCTCGGATCCTTTGAGGTAGACCTATGTGCCTTGTTGGACGTCTACTGGATTCATCGTTTTTAACTTCGACTGGCTGCTGAACTGTACTTGCAGAATTCTGGATTTCTGCATTTTCCTGTGGAAACTGGTTTTTAGAAATAGGGGAACCGGTTTCTGCTTCGTGAATTTCAATTCCAGCAGCTTCAGGATGTAAAATCTGTTAAGGAAACCGGTTACCCTCATCCAAGAAACTGATTTCCAGTACTGTCATAGGTTTTTTCTTGCTGTCAAATAGCCTTAACTCGTCCACGACCACATCTCAACTTATCACGATCTTCTTGCTACTCACATCAAAAAACTTGTAGCCTCCGGTAGGATGATAACCAACTAGCAACATTATCTCTCCTTTGTCATCCAACTTCTTTCGAAGCTGACTCAGAATATGTCGAAATGCTGCCGAACTAAAAACCTTCAAATGACTCAAACTTAGTTTATGACCAGACCATACATCTTCTGGTGTCACTTTACCAGCTTCTTAGTAGGGTACCTATTCAACAAATAGGCGATTGTAGATTCAGCTTCACCACATAGTTTCTTCGATAATCTTTTTCCCTTCAACATGCTCCGAACCATATTCATTATTGAACGATTTCTTCTCTCGGAAACACCATTTTGTTGAGGCTTATAAGATGGTACAACTTCACGCATTATACCCTTAACGTCACAATAATTCCCAAAATCACTCGAGGTATACTCGCCTCCAACATCGGTTTTGAGAATTTTTAACTTGTGACCATTTTGCCGCTCCGCCATGGATTTAAAACGTTTGAACACATCAAACGCCTCATCTTCCCTCTTGATTGGGTAAATCCATAACTTCCTACTAAAATCGTCAATAAAAGTGACAAAGTATCTATTTCCACCATACGAGTCGACTTGCATTGGACCACAAACATCAGAATACACAATCTCAAGATGATGTTTGGTCCTATGACCTGTATCCTTGTTGAAACTATTCTTGTGTTGCTTTCCATGAACACACTCTTCACAAATCCCAGCTGGAATATTGATCTTGGGAAGCCCGGTCACCATACCATTCGTTTGTAACGCGTCGAGGTCTCGAAAATGGAGATACCCAAGACGGTAATGCCACAACCATTCATCGCGACTTTCTACTGTAGCAAGACACTTGTGATCCATAACTTTCAATTATATCTTGAAAGTACGATTTGCACCCATGGATGCTCTAAGAATTAAGACTTCGTTTCGGTCCAAAACGCACAAAATCTTGTTTTTCATGCAAATTATGTAATTCTTCTCAAGCAATTGGTCAAAGCTCAAGAGATTACATTTAATTTTAGGAATTTATAACACATATTTGATCAAGGAGTGACTCCCATCCTTCTTCATGATCAAAATATCATCCACACCATCGTCCGCTAAAGTGGTGTCATCCGCGAATTTTACTCTATTCTTCGCGGCTTGATTGATTTTGACAAACCAATCCTTTTTACCCGCCATATGCATTGAACAACTAAAATACAAGTATCATTCATCACTTCCATAGACTCCATCTCGAATGGTTACCATTGTGTTTCGCTCCGAACGCGTTTCTGCAGAATTTTCTACACTGCAAACGCTGCTGCCCAGCTTCTGACAGCTGCTATTGTTGCTGTCCAGCAACTTCTCTACGCCATAATTCTCCTCTATGATCATGACCAGAAGTGTATTATCATAGCTTCATCACCTTGATTTTCTTTCGATTTCACATTACATTCCTTTGCTAATTGCCCAAGCTTTTGACAATTGAAACACTTTACACCACTCTTGTCAAACTTCTTGGTGTTGTTGCCTTGACCACTACCTTTGGAGATACTTTCACTTCTTTGTGCTATCGAACCCTTTGAATTTTGTGAATCTTTTCCACCAAAATTATAGAAATTTGTCTTCCCTCTTGAAGACCATTTTCCATTCTATCTCTTGTTCTTCTCATTGAACCGTGCTTGTAACGCAATCTCCATTTTGGCCTTGTCATTTCGCCTTTCATCCATTCTTTGTTCATGAGCCTCTAATAAGATTTGAAGTTTCTCCTTGCTCATGGTAAGAAGATCCTTTGATTCTTCGATTGCAACCACTATGTTGTCAAATCTTGACGTTAAAGAAAGCAAGATTTTTTCTACCACATTCTGCACCGACACGGTTTCACTGTAAGACTTCATTTGATTCACCAGACGCGTTATACACATAATGTAATCATTGATCGACTTCTTCTCTTCCATCTGCACTAGATCAAACTGCCTCGTGTGAGTTTGTAACCTCGCAACCTTCGCTTTATCTGCCCCTTCATAAGCTTTCTTCAAGATCTCCCAAGTTTGCTTCGTCGACGTGTAATCACCAATCTTTTCAAAATTGTCACTATCGATGCAATAATGTATCAAGAAGAGTGTTTGTAGTCTTTCTTCTTCTCTTTCTTGAATGTAGCTTGTTGAGCAGTTGTAGCATCTGCCCCAAGTGGTGTAACACCATGGTTCACTACTCCAAGAATGTCTTGATACCCAAACAAAACTTTCATTTGTTTGCACCACTTGTCATAGTTCTTGGAATCAAGAATTAGAAGGTTGGTAGGGATTCGTTCATTGGAAACGGTAGACATGTTTGCAGGGAATTAATGGATCAGAACCAGGCTCTTGATGCCAAATGTTGGAATATACACAACTATATTGGTGAATCAATGGTGAAAGTGGTTTATCGGAGAAGATGAAGTTTAGAGAGGAATTGGAAATTATAAGAGAGAGAGAGAGAGAGAGAGAGAGAGAGAGAGAGAGAGAGTAATTGAGGAGAAAATATCAAAATGAAATTAATCTCATAACACATTACATGAGGATATTTATAGGATACAAAGAAAAACATTAACCAACTAAACTATCTCATAGAACAGTAGAAGAAATAGAATATCACGACAGAAACCGGTTTCATAAACAAGAAAACCGATTTTCTCAACTGAAAAACAAATTCCAAAACTGAAACGCGCGACAAAAATCGGCTTTCTAAAACAGGGAAATCGGTTTCTTCGATTCCAAATTTCAATTTTTTCAGAAGTATTTTTCCTGATAAGTTGTTTGCACGAAACGAACATAGAAGCTTCCAGAATGCATATGAATAATTATCAACTTCTAATAATGATAACAAGGACATTTAGCTATCTATAAGTTGCATTTTAACTATCTATATAAGTTGCATATAACTAAAATGATAACGAGGACACTTAGCTGTCTATATAAATTGCATATAACTAACATGTAATTGAAATATAAACCAAAATTCTAACTAAGCAGAATCACATATGATCAATATTTACTATTTAAAAATGAACGACTTGACTCAAATAATATGGTATTATTACTAACATGTAATTGTTAATGGTAGTAATAGGGAGGATTTCAAGTTGGAAAGGGGATTAAGGTAAGGTGACCCTCTCTGTTTCTGTTAGTCATTGTGATGGAATGCTTAACCAGGCTGATGAAGAAAGCGGTTGAAATGGGTGATTATAGGGGGTTTCATTTCGGTGCTTATGATTCGGTAGATATTCTACAGTTTGTGGATGATACCATATTATTCGATGACAGAGGGAGTGATAACTTGTAGAGCTTGAAGGCCATTCTAAGAGACGATCGGAATAGCTGTTGTGCGTTTTGCTTCGGGGAAGAAGAAACTCTTAGTCATCTTTTCGAATCGTGCACATTAACGAATAGAATATGGGTTAAGGCTGCTGAGTGGATTGGGGGAGAAGTGAATATAAATGCAGAAGAATTGAGGTTGTTCCTTTTATTTAATCATAAGATAAAGGATACAGATGAAAGATTAACAGTTTGGGGGTGATATGGCTCGCGGTAATGTGGAACATTTAGTTGATGAGAAATGCGATTATGTTCAATGGTAAATTCTTTAATTTCAATGATTGTATCACTTCTATCATTTTTGTTTCCTGGAAATGGTTTCCTCAATTTATTGTAACTTTCATATTTGGAATACCTTACCTCTAAGGTGTACTAAGAGGTGAGGTTTGTCGTTGTCGACTCCGGATTGGATTACTTCTTATAATCAATCTTGAGGTTTTTAATGAAATCACTACTTATTAAAAAAATAGGAATTAATTGGAAGGACGGAAAATTTATCAAAATTTGAAGGAAATATACTTTATGGACTAAGAACAGAAATTGGTATATTTAGTGGTATCACAAATCTTTTGAATTTCATGTTTTTGTTTAAAGCTCAGACGTCGTCATTTGTTTGCCAACTACTACTCCAAACTAAAGTGCAGTTTCAGGGAGAAGAAAATAATGTCGGTCCTTTTATGCTATGCAAATGATCACAAACTTTGTATGTCAGTCCTTTTGTGCTATGCAAATGTTTCCTATTCAAATTTTTGTACACTTTGTTTCAACTTGCTATTTGCTCTTTAGTTTTATTTATATACTGATAAACTGCTCTTTCACTTTTCTTCAACACCCTGAGTTTAGAAACTATTTTACTGCAGCCTGAAAGCCAAAATAATGTGTTTGTCATCTGCAACAGATCCTGCATTTTTCTTTTGGTTGGTTCCTCATACAGAAGCCTGATGTATGTATTGGAATGTAAGCTTCAATTTTGTCTCACTTTCTATTATCACAAAAACAGTGTGTCCATGAAACAATGCAATAACAGTTTCGATTATCATCATTTCTTCCGGTCACAAACAACATATGTTTGGTTAAGTACATTTAATGAAAGCCCCCATTTCTTTAGTCAAAATTGATTTTCGCATGCCTAAATTCACAAATAAACAGACTATCTTTCATTGCCCATTGAATTTTTACAGCATTCCTCCCTGTTGATTATAATTTCTTACACGGTCAGTAGCAATGCGTCAACTGACTGCATATTTCATCGCTTAATTTCTATTATTGGAAGATGCTTTTTTCTTCCTTTTGTTCTTGGGCTTGACAGCGTCCTTCAGAGTCTTACCTTCATTACTCTGGCCAGCAGTTAGAGCTGTATCAATTGGTTCAGAATCTGCTTTGATTTCCTGCGCTGGTTCTTCCGCCTTAGTCTCCCGTCTTAAATCCTTTTGTTTACTAGGGGTTGATTGTCCTGCTTATTTTACAACAGTTCTAGTCAGTGAAATTTTGTACTCGTTAAACTACGTAAATACGTGTATAAACTATATGAAGCAATATATACATCAATGATAATGAAATGTCGAAATTTAAAAGGGGAGTCCAACTAAAAGCACCGATGAAATCAACTAGAGAAATGATGCATATTTAAACAAAAAAACTCACAAACCCTTCACAGAATAATGAATCTGGTGTAGATGTATGGTAACATAAAGTAGTGGGTAATTTTATATCCCCAAGTGCAAGCAAATAGAGTCGCTGTATATTTAATCAAAAGCCACATAAACAGCCAAGATTACAATGAAGATGAAAGAGAAGTAATTACCACGAGAAGCTAGAGAAGATTTTAGAAGATCTGAATTGACACACTCTGAGTAAGGATCCCTGAGAAGGGAAAGACCAAGTATACGTTATTCCTCAATATATCCAAAAATCATAAAGGAAAAGAAAACCATAATGACAGATAATATTACTTATTAATTTCAGCAGTTCACTTACTGTGAATATTACTTTAACAGGCTTACAGCATATAGGTTTACGTATTATCTATACATTGGCTATAAATAATAATCTTCCGTTCAATAAATTGTTCATTCATATAATATATGATAGATGTATATGAATGAACTGAACAACAAACAAGACTATCAATAAATTTAAAAATAAAATAAAATCCAAAAAAGCTATTACTATTAGTTCTTGGGGAACTGACACCTTACCAACTTGAGGGACCGCCAATGAAATTCTTTGAGCTTCCATCCTTGTTATTCTGTACTTGTTCTGATGGCGTAGCATCACATTCCATAAAATTCGCCTCATCTTTTAGCTTCAATTGGGCTAGATGATTACCATCTTTATCAGCATCTGATTGATTTTGTTTGGGAGATAATCTGGTAGTGGTTCCACATACATCCATGGCTACGGAGGAGGAATGGCGTTTAATCTTCTGCAGTGCTCTTTCAGTGTTATGCTTTTCAACCTACATCCGTTCAGACAATAAAAGAAATTGGCAAACAATATACATTCCATATGTGATTGTTATGACAATTGAGACAGATCACCAAGAGCATGAAAAAATTTTATAATAGCATCAAGAAGAAGAAGAAAAAAAGATATTTAAGCACACTCAATTGCAATGTAAAGCAAGCAAAGATCAACTCATATTATTGTTCTTCTTCATGTAACTAAGCCAACCAGAAGACTTAAAGAAGACTATTTTAATTATTTCGCACCAGCAGAACTTAGCACCCAATATAAAAAGAGAGATGATACTGATTAAATGCATCAATCGGTTCATAAGCATTATAAGAAAATGAGGTCCTCGAAGCTTAAGCATAAAAAAGAACTCACTGCATCCTTTATCTTGGCTGTAATATCACCAGCTTTAACATGAGCAAGTTTCAAGCAATGCATGATAACCCGTTGAGAGACTCCCTGCCCCCCAGGTTTTTGAATGGCACAAACATCACCATTTGCATTAAGTGATGTAGTCATACGTCCAGTCATTACAGCCTCTTCACGGTATGTCGGATCCAAGACCTATTGAGCATCAAATAAAATCAGAGGACTTCTCATATATACTCCCATATGTATCAAAAGAATAACGGTGAGAAAGATAGGTACCACAAGATTTTCATTACTGAAAAATCCAAAGGTGACAGCAATTGGAAGATGGTGTATAATCAAAGGGAGTGGCTCGCGCACCTGCAATGCATATCATAGATAACAGTTACGGAAGCTAAAAAGAAAACAGGGGCGAAAGGACACACTTCTAAACTGTAGAAGCTAACCTCGGGAGGATGCACCACAACTTGTTGACCATCCTCTCCCCCCAACGAGCATTCAGGCCTTCTGAATGTCATCAAAGAAGCCAATGCAGCAATATTTGCAGCATCAACAAGATTCCTATTCACAAATTAAAACATGATAATAATTAGTCATAGTTGTATATAAGCAAATTAGCAAGTTGGGTTAGAAAGAAAAAGAGAACAGAAGCAAAGGTGAGAAGCTGATTCTCACCCTGCATTGTCCAATATATGGATATCAATGCGAATGGCCCAGACAAGTTTGGCAGAAAGAATGCAGAGCGATTCAGTGTCAATGGCTCTGCTTTCTCGTAAACCACGGTCTATAATGCGTCCTAACTCAACAGCAGATTCTCCAGGACGGCCAGGCTCAAAGGAAGGATCAGCCATGGGAGAGAATTCAGTGAAGATGGAAAGTGTGCCTTCATTAGGCCTATCTCTGTAAGGCTGCACAAGTTGACCACTCACAAAACCCATCACACGTGTCTCACCCAATTGGACCTCCGCGGATCCATTATCCCTTCCAAATTTAATGTTTAACTTGCGATAATCCAAGGGGCCACGACCATCCACTCGAAGCTGTGATAGTAGAGCACTTTCGATGAATTTCTTTTCATTAACTGTCAACCGCCAACAATTAGCTAATCTCTGCTCCATGTCTCTATGCTTAACAAAAAGAAAAAGGCCGATAACCAAGTAAGAATGCAATTAAAAAAACAATGCTTTCATGAACCTGACACTCACAAATGATAAAACACCAAAACAAGGTAAAAACCAAACCCCTCACATATGATAAAACTCCAAAATAAAGTCACAATGCAAGTCGGTTTTCCATATTTTCCAATTTCAAAATTTCAATTGGAGACCAAGAAAGAACACACAGTAACTCTATCATTATAAAAATCTCCAATTAAGAACCAAAATTTTCAAAGTTGAATTGTCCCATATCACCTAAACCACTAAACCAATAAAATCATTTATATGACAACTCTAAATCCAATTTCAAAACCGAAGTTGGACATCTAAATCAAAACATTTGAATGTACGTTGTTTTTATTTTTGTATAACAAAGACATAATAATCCATGACCATATTGAAAATAAGGGTTAAATTTATAAAGACATTCAAGAAAATCAACCAGTAGGCCATAACTACTGGTAACTAACAAGAATGAACAATTTGGTCCAAAAGTAACAACCCTTAACCCATAACAATTGCCACACAGTAATTGAAACAAAAAAATAAATGCAAATCACTCTTTTTACAAGCACGAGGTTGTTTCATAATATCATAACAGAAAGGAGAAATAACAAAATTTGACACTGATAGGTGATTGTGTATGAGTTCCAATGTTAGCTTATAGCAATCTACTTGTTTATAGGAATCTAGCTGCTCTGTAAATATACTAAGGAAATCAAGACATGTGAACTCATGTCCTGAATAGATCACAAAACTATTACTATCAGCCTATTTTGTATATTCTTGAATAGAGAGAATTGGATAGAGCAAAGCAGATCTTGAATCATCTATAATTGGATAGATTTGTGAAACAGTTAGTTTTAAGTAATTTGACTATTTCTGTGTCAGATCCCTAGAAAAATTACTTAAAACTATTTCTTTTGCTCTATCCAATTCTATCTATTCAACAATATAGATAACATCTGTTCCGACAATAATATTTATTTTTTTCATTTTTCAACATGTATGAACCTCGTTGACACATTTTCACAAACAGCTTGATTTCCAATTGATTTGCTCCACCAAAGTCACCAAACATTATATTAAAGAATGGGAAATTTGCATTAAGTTTAAACGGCATTGACCTTGAACTTCTACCATAGCAAATGCGAAGTTGCTTGAAAATTACATTCACTAGAAAATTGAAGTTGCTGAAAACTAAGGAAATCCTGAAGGTGAGTAAGGAAAATTACCTGTAGGACTTTCTCGGTGGTTCTCGTGGCCGAATTCCTACTCCGGCAGCGTTTTCCGGCAAGCTTTTGCTTTAGGGTTTTATCGTTTTAGGGTTTTTGTTGGAGTGAATCAAAGTTTAATTCTAGTCGATGTTTTAAAAATCGAACCGTCCGGTTCGACCAGTTCGTATTTAGGAACCGGAATAAAACCGCTTAAAACCAGAAAGAACCGGGGGAATGGTTAAAAGTTAGAAAAATATTGGGTCTGCTACTATGATCAAATAGTTTATAAAACTATGAATTAAAAAGTATTGACTCATAACCATTTTTAAAAATAACTCATAATTTTTTTTTAAAATTCATACAACTAGTAATTAAATTGCTCACATATTTTAATATTTAATCATTATTATAATTAATGTAAAAAAAGAGTATGTTTGCATTATTTTTTAATTTTATTTTATTTTATTTAATTTAAAATTATTTGATTGAATTCCATTGAACGATGACTCACAATATAATTCTTAAGACATTATTTTTTTTTGAAATAATCAAACGCAAAATTGATAAAAAATTACAAAATAATAATTAAGTTTTTTAAAATCTTGTATTTATATTATGTTTTTTTTTGGTAGAAATAAGATATTTTCTGTATAAAATTATAGAAACTAATCTCTCAAATCAGATACAATTATAATAAATAATAAAATTTTCATTTAAAAAATTTAATATTATTGCTTGCGCAGAACTGAAATTAAATCTAAAATATTTGATTAAATTGAAATAAATCCTTTAAATTTGAAAATTTATGTTTTGAAAAAGAGTTTGTTTCTAATTCTACATATTTATCCTTTTAATTATGGTTTTCATTTACATGTTTTTTTAATAATTTTTAATTTGTATTGAGAAAAGGGGGATGGAATTGTCAAGCTTCACGTTCACTCTTTTCTATTTTGATATTATTATACAATTTTTTTAAATAAATATTTTTTTATGCATTTTATTATATTTTAATAGATAAAAATAGTAGGATCTTAATCGTGCAATTGTGTTGCGATTATAAGGAATCATGTCGTAATCAAACACTTATGTATGAAACTTGTAATGCGGAAATCAAATTTATGTATGAAACTTGTCCTAGAGAGATTAAGAAGGTGTACAGAGCTAACTTGGAAAATGTTAGGAGGAAAAAAATTGTTAATAATGTAATTTGGCTTGTGGCTTCTTCAATAACAAAAAAAGAGGGTTTTTTTTTTCTTGAATAGTGCCACGAACCAAGAAATAAAATAGTAAATTGATATTTTTAAGGGTTTGTTTCTTATTAGCTTCATGAATAGTTTCACTTATTTGATGTAGTCATTGAGACACTTGTATAGGAACATCAAATACATAAATATAAATTTAAATATGTGATATCTCATTTATTTATTTTAAAAAAAAATAAACTTCGATCACTTAACTTCGGAACAAAAAAGACAATTTATTGATGCTTATAGGGTGGACACATTAATTAGCATCCTTATCGTAGAAAAATAATACTCTCGTGATGATTTATCTCACTTTAATTATTCCCTTATAACAAAATTATTCTCACGCCCCCTCTGCCACCTCTTCACTTCTTGTTTGCATGTTATTCTTCCCCACATAAACTCTCTAAGTAGCGGGCTTACTTTTTTTGGTTTATTAGACCTCATATCTTCATTTTGTTATCTTCTTTATTGAATCCATATGTTGATTACAACAATTTTAATTTTTCAAAAATATCAATTTTATCTTTAATATTTTTAATTAATTTATCATTTCACTTTTTATTATACATTAAAAAATTTGAGAATCACATCTCTTACGTCTGCGTTTTAGAACACTTCAAGAAAATCTTCTGATATGCATTTTAACAAACTGGAACAATTGAGCAAAGTGATCCGATTTAGAGAAAAAAATGTTCCAGAAAAGTTGTACAAAGTGTTTTGGTTTGTGATAAAAAATTTACATAAACCGAAACACTTCTGAAAAATCTTCTGGTACTGCGTTTTGTTAACCGGAACACATATTCACAATGTTTCAGTTAGTCTTAAAACCTAAACCGGAACACTTGCTTGAAGTCTTCTGGTACGCTCTTTTAATATATTTTTTCAGGTATGGAAATTCCACTCCAAATTTGCTAAGAAAACGAGAGTTTTGTAGATACCACTGATGTATTTTCAACTGTTCAAAGATTCGATACACGAGAAGAGGTTATAAGATGGATTAAAGAGGTTGGAATAAGAAATAAAGTAATTGTCATTATCAAGCGTTCAGACACCGAAATGGGAAAGAGAGGGAGAAGTAACAAAGTAATATTTAGTTGCGACAAGGGGAAATACAAGGATAAAAGTGAAATTTAAAGTGTGACTAAGAGATGTGGATGTTCATTCAAAATCAGGTCGACTCCGACAAAAGATGGGTCTAGATGGAAGGTTGGTGTAAAGTGCAGAGTTCATAATCATTGATTATCTGATAACTTAGAAGGTCATGCGTTTGTTGGTAGGTTTACCACAAATGATAAGTAGCATGTTGTTGATTTGACAAAGAGAAATGTTCCACTTAAACACATATTGCTTCCCTTGGAAGAGTGAGATCCTGAGAATGTCACTCGGATCATGTAAATATATAAGCATGAGAGTGGGATAGAAAAAGAGATAAGAGGTCCAAGAAGTGAGATACAACATTTGCTTAAGCTTATAGAGGATGCATGTTATGTTTACTGGAGCAGAAAAGAAGATGACTCATAAGTTATGAGAGATATTTTTTTGGGCGCATCCATATTCAATTAAGTTGCTGAAATATTTTTCTTATTGTGTTAGTTATGGACATCACGTATAATACAAATAAATATAGACAACCTCTATTTGAAATTGTTGGCATGACATCGACCGAGTTGACATTTATTGTTGCATTTTCTTATATGGAGTCTGAGCAGACATATAGTTTTTGTTGGGTCTTGGATAAGCTGAAGCAAATGTTTGTGAAGAAAGATTTGTGTCCACAAGTGACTTTGAAGGATAGAGATCTTGCTTTGATGAAAGTAGTCGAAGTTGTATTTCCTACGACGGTTAATTTGCTATGTTGATTTCACATTAACAAAATGTTGATGCAAGATGCAAGCAATATATGGTGAAAGACATGCAAGATACGATAAATATATTATAGATGGAACTTGTATGGACTAGTGACGAGGTTGAGTATAGTCAACGATTACACCAACTTGAACATACATGTTGTGATTGTATTGAATTTATTGATTATGTGAAAGACACTTGGTTGACTCCACATAGGCATAGATTTGTTGGAGCATGGATTAATCGAGTACTTCATTTGGGTAACCCCACGACTAATCAGTATGTCATTTTCTGTAGTATTTTTATTATGCAATAAATTTTTTTATTTTTTAATATTTTAGCTATGTTATATTTTTAGGGTTGAGTCTACACATTGTAAGTTAAAGTACATGTTGGAGAATAGTATTGGTGACATGGTCAAATGTTGGGAAGCTATGAATAGCAATCTGAAGTTACAAATATGCAACATTCGAGCTTCTTTTTAAAAAAGTTTTTATGAAGTTGAGCATGCCAACATAAGTCCATTTTATGGTAATATGTGTGGTTATGTATCTAGAGCTGCTTTGAGACGTATTGCTGAAGAGTTATTGAGGGATGATTATGTTGGAACTGGCAAGCAAAAATGTGGTTGTACTAATAGAACAAATTA